AACCTCTTCTATAGAAGAGGTTCCACAAATCTACAGTGCCGTTTAGAACTGGTTCCAGGTTCCTCCCCCTGCCGTCCGCACATCATCAAGATGAAGAGCGAGAGGAGGAATTCTGGGAGTTGAAGTCCACAAATCTTAAAGCTGTCAAGTTTGAACACCCCTGGGGTTTTTTTTCTAAAGGGTTAGGGGTGCAAGGGTCTTGTAACTTGACAGCTTTAAGACTTGCATGCTTCAAATGCCAGAGTTCCTGAGCCAACATTTTTGTTGCTAAGCAAAAGCATTGTTAAATGAGTTTCACCACATTTTACAAGTTGACCATGCCCACCCAGTCACATGGCCAGCAAGCCACTCCCACAAAGCAAGCCACACCTACAGAAGAGGTTCTAAAAAGTTTTGAAACCCACCACTGATTTCAGGGATGCAAAAGGGGGTTGCCATTGTCTTCTTTCCATAATTTCCCAATTTATCCTGTAATTCTTCGTAGTCTCCCATCCAAATACTAATCCAGATCCATTCCTTCTCAGCTGTAAGTTTAGCTACCAGATGCCTATGAAACGTACGTCTAATGGTTAAACCATAGCTGCTTTTAAATATTGATCCTGTTGCCATCATTGTGTTCAAGCTCACTTAATTCCTGAATTCTCTCAATATAGTATGCCCGATTAATATTAACTTTGGGTGCAGAGGGTAGCATGTTATACAGCTGGTTTGGTTTGGTTTGTTTTGTTTCCAGCAGATGCCACCACTCAGCTGGTACTGGCTGACCTAAAAAAACGAAAAAAGTTCAGATCTGGTTAGATTTTGGACAGGAGGCCACCAGGAGATCCCAGAAATGTAAGCTAGAAGTTGCCAAATTCAACTTCACTATACAAATTCAGTAAACAGGTTAATTCAATAAGCCCATTCAGCAGGTCCTGTAAGTGTAGCTGTATGAGGATGACAGTCAGTACCTAGGTAAGACACCAATGTAGATTTGAGGGAAATTGCCAAGCTGTTTTCTTACTTTCTAGATTGCAAAAGGAGCGACACAGGATGAGCGCCGAGAATGGGACCTTCTGGACAGTGTGCGTTTCTGTTGGCTTCCAAATTCTGAAAAGACTCTAGAAGGTAGCATTTGAAAAACCAGATCTTGTAAAAGGTCTTTAGGTGTTTTTTTTTTTAAAGAAAGGGAGGAAATTGACTATAAGCCTAAATAAATAAAATGTAATGCAATTAATATAATTTTTTTGAGATGAATTGCTGTTACAGAAAAGACAACTAGATGAAAACTGCTGGAGCAAATTCTGAGGCTAGCATTCAAACGAAGATAAGAACAAACTTCTATGATGAACTCCTATGCCTTTTTTAAAAAAAACTCTTAGTCCTATTCATTTGAAAGGATTTATACATAATTTCTGAGGCACTTCAGTAAGATTATTTAATTGAAACTTAGTCCCCAGCAAGCCCTGGGATTTTGATTTGGTTTTAGAAAATGTATTACTTTGTTTATAATTTCTGAGATACTGTACTTCAGTAGAATTACTTACCGTAATTAGAGCTTAGTCCCCAGCAAGGCCTGGGATTTTGGTTTGGTTTTAGAAGGTTTATTTATTTAGAAAATGTATATTGCTGCAGAACTCACTCTTGGTGACCCCTGACAGCTATTGGGGATGAAACCCCAACACAAAAACTAATAATCTCTCCCCACCCATCCCCATTTCTCTCAGTACTGCCTGGATGGGCAACTTGAGGATTCCCAAATTTCAAAGTTTAATGTGAGAGGTAGGGAAAATACTTTTTAAGTACAAGAAAAATGACAGTATTTCATTTTTTTATTTCATGAAAGAGAAAATAAATTTGCTTTTGTCCCATCCATGCTGTTCTTGGGCTTGAGCAGTTTGGCCTAATTCAGTACCAGTGCATGTTAAGTCAAGCTGTTGGTTCAGCTGTAGCAGCAAATCATTGTTAGGCCTTGTAAATCATAGTTTGGGACTACATTAGAACCACCTGATCTTCAGGGGAGTAGAGAGAAAACCTCTATCTTAACGAATGTCTCTTTGCCTTGTAGAAGACTGTTTTGATGTGACTCGGGAGGCCATGACCCACTTGGGTATGGACAGTTTCACCCAGAATAATGTTTTTAAGGTCAGTTAAACCTTGGCTCAATATCAGTTAGATTGATTGAAAGGATTTGTAAGGCCACCTAATCAGCACATATTGATCTTTGAGGGTGATTTACAATATCCTGAATTTCAGCAGCCTGGCTTCATGCCATTTTTGGCTGGGTTTCTTTTCAAATCTTCTGCTGGTCAATTTCCAATAAACTCAGTTTCTGAGTATGGATCCTTTTTTAAAAAAAACAAACATGTTTTATTTGCAGTTTTCTATTTACACCATGCATATTTCGTGAACAGTGCATTGACTGGGTCAATTTTTTTTAAAACAACACTAACAATAATAATACAAATACATTTATGTAATCCTAATCTTCCAGCTTCATATTATTCTCTCCTTATAATTCTTTATCATTTTTCCCATTAATTCATTTGAACATAGATATTTGTTATCCCCTACTAAATTACTAATATTTAATATTTTAAAAATTGCTCATTCCACCATAACTTCAATATTCCAAATTGTAGGATTACTAATAAAGCCAAATATTAACAATATTTAATCAATCCCGGGTGTATCTCAAAATCCCCACAATTTCTAGTTCTTAATAATTTAAATTCACAACATATTTTAACATACTATTAATGTTAATACAATTAGGTTACCTAAGCCTAAATTTCCATCTACTAGGCTTAACTTATTTTTAGTTATAATAAGTTGTATTATCTATTAGTGCAATGGTCTCCAACCTTGGCAACTTTAAGACCTGTGGACTTCAACTCCCAGAGTTCCTCAGCCATCTTTGCTGAGGAACTCTGGGAGTTGAAGTCCACAAGTCTTAAAGTTGCCAAGGTTGGAGACCACTGTATTAGTGTATATATACTACTATTTTCCCTACTTGTATATTTCCATTTTATTAATATATTTTCTCATTATCCATCATCTCCTAACCTTTTTGAAATTCTATCATTTGTTGACATTTTAGGCAGCCTTTTATGGATCCTTGTTCAGCCCAAAAACATCACCCATACAGAATACAGAAAAGCCAACTAGTTGAACGATCTCTTTTTGTTACAGATACTAGCTGGTCTTCTCCATTTGGGAAATATTCAGTTCTGCGAGTCAGAAGATGAGGCACATCTTTGTGAGTTAGAAGATCTGGCCAAAGGTGAGCTGCCCATTAACCAGACTTCCAGTCTCAAAACAATCTAGTTTCAGCTTTGCGGAATCATGGTTTAAATCATGGCTGAAGATGGTGTAAAACCAGCCAGTTGGAGCTTATTCAGCAAAGTACGTCATAATACAGTTACCGTATTTTTCGGAGTATAACACACACCCTTTTCCCTCAAAAAAGAGGGTGAAAATCTGGGTGCGTCTTATACATTGAATACAACATTTTTGGTGTACCAAAACCCCACCCCCTTAGCACAAATGGCCATGCATAGCCTTTAGGAGGCTTCCAGAGTGCTCCGGGGGGCTGGAGAGGGCAAATATGAGCAAAAAACGGGCCGTTCTTTGCTTGTCCACCCCCAGCCCCCAGGAACACTCTATAAGCCTCCTAAAGGCTATGCATGCATTCTCTCTCTCTCTCTCTCGTGTAAT